TTTTCGGAGACTTCCTTGCTCTGTATACTCCATGACCATCATGTAATTACCATCCTTTAGGTTTTTCAGTTATTCCATAAATTGCAATTGCTGAATTGTTTCCATGTTTATGTTGATTTTTAACTTCTTCTAAGAATTCTCGTTTTATATCTTTAGAATTATCAAGACTTTTTAAACAAACGTTTGTTTGTCCCTTTCTATTCCATTTATTCACCGAATAATCAACTCCTGTGATATATCCGTCAATCCATACTGCCTTAAAAACGGTGCCAAAGCCTCCTTTAGCAAGATGTCTGATATTTGTAAATTTACTAAAAAGGATCATTTAAATAATGTTTTTAAACTACACCGTATTAAGTTGTGTTTGTTAAATTAATTGATCAATGTCGTGATTGTCACTTGTCCAATTATGAAATTCTTTCTCAAATTATTCGTAATATAGGTAGGAACAAATAACCATCTCGCCGATTATGAAATGCTATCGTCACTTGCTTCTTTGGTCTTTCCGGATAATCATATACTCATAGCAATTATACAAATATTCTACCATTTATAATGGTCCTAACCTTCAAAAGGTTCAGATAAATCTCTAATGTCGTCTTATAGTACTTTCGGATATAGCTAAGCGTCATATATTCTTAATCAACGAATCTTCATTCGTCAGGTGACTCTTGAACTAAAGTTGAGAAGTTCATATCTCACAGTCACCACCAAATGTTACGGGGTGAATCGTAGGTTTATTTAATTAAAATGTGAAAATATAGATTTATTACAGGATAAGGCATTCGCCAGAGGCGTGACAGTGGTAATTTGACAATAATTTATTTTATTTAAAGTTTGAGCAGGTGATTTGTTCAATATTAGAAAGAAGTTATTAGGATCCCGTAGGGTATTTGATAATAGAACTCCTGAAGGATATCTTTAAGAAGGGCGAAATGCTAGAGTTTTTATAACTTTAGCGAATGTAAGAATTCAAGGGGCTTAGGGATGACTCATACATTATATCTTTAACGAATTTAAGGGAACTACTTCTAAGCTAAGGGGCTTACAATGATAATTTACAACATTATTATTTTAAAGGAAAGGCTTTGCTTCATTGACTACAACTATTCGCTTTTACAGCCACTTTAACTATACCTAAATCTTGTTATTCGGTGTTCTTTCATTTCTTTTTACGTGTCACTTGTTCTTCGATTTTCGTGTTGGTTATTGTTTTGTCTTTATTCGGCCGATAAGCCTCAACTGATAAACCAGTATTTCTTGGATTTATTGCTTCGATCACGGATTTGCTATGCCTAATTTTGTAGATCTTTTGTTTTAGCCTGTGACAATATTGAACATATGATTATTGTAAACGAAGAATATCAACGATAATATTGAATTTACTCATTTTCTCTGTAAGAATTAATTATTCTGAAAATAATTAATTATTTTGATTATTAAATATGTGATAAATATTTTGAACATATAATTATTGTAAACGAGGAATCGATATTGATATCAACGATGATATTAAATTTACTCATTTTTTAAAACAGACCTACTTTGATCGATCTCTTTAAATAATTGCCATGCTTGATCACAAAAAAAAACAGTTGTACGTATAACATTTTTAATGCATATATTTTAAATTTAAAAAAAAATAAAAAAAAGAAATACAATAT